CTGGGGAAAGGAGAGGTTCAATGAAAGAGAGGAAGATCCTCAGTGAGATAGACTGACATGGTGACTTAAACAATAGGTTTGAGCTACGATCCAGATTGTGAGGATTGGACAAAAGAGAAAGCAGGGTTTGATCTGCTGTCCATAGAGTCACTATGAGTTAGAGTCTATATGAACAGGGAACTTAGGGATGTTTCTTGCATATTTCATAGTATTTTTGAAAGAAGTAAGAAATAACTGGAAGATTAGAAGAAAAATAACAAGATCTATGAATCTTACTTAGAACAGTGTATAGAAGTCAACTGAAGGGTTCATTAGAATGTAGATTCTTCGACCTTATTCACAGAAACTTTGTTGCAGCAAGTCTGGAATGGAACTAAAAAATAGGAGTCATTAATAAATAATCCCAGAAGAGACTACTGTAGAAAAGTTGCATCAACATTTAGAAAAGTGTATTTTGTACAGATGTGCAGTCATACTTTTCTATGATCTGCCTTTCTATGCTTTTTGGGGGGCAAGCCCAGGATTTTTGGTTATCGTGCGGCAAATATATGTAATAGGAGAGTTGCTAATTTAAGATTTCCACATGCATAAACACTGAAGGAGCCCTGGTGGCACAGTGGTTAAGCTCTGGACTGCTCACCAAAGGGTCAACCTCTGAGTCTCCCCTGCCATTCTGCAGGAGACAGATGTGGCACTCTACCTCCATAAAGACTCCGCCCAAGGAAATGTTGCTGTTGTTTTTATTTAATTGATTTTAATGAAAGTTTACAGAGACTTTGGGTTTCCATTAATTCCATCCTTTTATTGTTATTCAGTCCCTTGCCGCTAGTCCACTCCACTATGCTACCTTCATTCTGCACAGCCACTTGGAATCAATTTCATATCAGTATTGTTGTTGGGAATTTTGTTGTTGTTATTGTTCATTAATTATAGTCATCATACTATAAAGCCAGGTTTTTTAAATGACTATTTCCACACACTTATAATTTTGATAGAATCTAATATGATGGATATGTTGACCAAGCTCTTGGTGATCATGCGATTAAAATATAGAAAGTAGCTAAATATTATTTAGCTGATGAATAATATCAATCAATAGAGACGTGAATAAAACAGAGAAATAGATTTACTATTAAACCATATAACAGTTTGCTTCTGTTTCTTGTCTCATTTGCCTTTCAAATTAATCTAAATATTCACTGTAATCTAAAGAACACATAGCACACTTTGTATCTACTTTTCTCTTTGAATCACTGTATTCCACACTTTGTTTCAATTAAACCTAACGTGTTCAGAGGAAAAATGTTCCTTAGTACAGTTGAGTGAATAAAGTCTTTGCAATGTTATTTATTAGATGATAAAACTTTAAGTACTATGACCAGGTCTCCTGCATGTGGACCTTTGAAGAGTTTAGTCAGAAGAAGGGGAAGTGTAAGATTGAATGGGTTTTATAATGTATCATGTTTCTTGGGAATTTTCTGTATTTGTGTAATAGGATTTAACCTGGATTACTGGGGTTTGAGACTGTGTAAAGACAAAGTTGCAGACCTTGTTGAAGATACTCTTTCTGTGATATACACATATACACACTTATGCAAAAAAGACAAACCTCTGAAAGTGGTTTTTGTAAAAGCTTTTAATATTGGTTATGTACTTAAGTCTTGGTTTGATATAATTTTAAATATAATACTGCTGGTAACTCTTAGGTGTAGTAACAGTTTACATTATCTAACATACTGTATATAAAAGATCATGTTAAGGATAAAACCTTTTTAAGCCTTAAGGTTTCTAACTATTAAAAATTACTAATTTCTTTCTTGACAATTGTCTCTTTGACCAGATTTCTTATCGAAAAGATGTGCAAGACACCCACACATACAGTGCGGAGTTTGACAGACCAGATATCAAGATGGCAACCCAGATATCCAAGATCGTCAGCAATGTAATTTATCTTTCTTAATATTTGCAAAGCTTATAGTGGGGCTTTTGTTGTGTGGTTATTTTAATTAGTGTGGTTAGGTGATCTGAACAAATAACACCTCTTTTTTATTCCTGTGAATTCTCTATGTGAGTATGTCCTTTATACATGTAGAAACTGCCCACCCTTGACTTGGCCGTAGTTGGTGTTACACCTTTAGAGAAAGAAGTATAAGTCAGGTATAAGAGCCTAGTCAAGGCTATCAGAGGTATGTGACCTTGTTTTACCTCTCACCTCACCCTATTGCAGAGAACTTTATTATTTCTACCTGTTGCTATTAATATTGCCAATTTTCTTTTGCCCACAATCTTGTACATTTCCTTAAGTCATGGCTTGATCTTATCTTCTCTAAGACACCCTTGTCTGTTAGTGCTACATAACCTAAACATAAAGGAGCCTTTGTATGACAGTAGTTAAATGTTTGCTCTCTAACTGAACGGGGGACAGGCTGGCAATCTGGTCTCCTAAAGAATGCAGCCTAGAAAACTCTTTTAGACATTCCTACTCTATCACATGAAGTTACTAGTATTTAAATCAACTCAGTGGTGGTACCAACAACAACATATATCTAAATCCCTGGCTAAAAAGGAACAATTCATTTATACTAGACGTTTGAATTCTATGAGCGAAGCTCATTTTTAAAAATATTATTTTACTGAATCAAATATGGTTATTATCAATTAACCAAACATGCTTACTCTTCAGGATAAACAAAGATATATATTGGTAAGGTCCAATGGTGATTAATTTTATAAAGCATAATATATGAGAATGATTATATGCCACACAATGTGAATGAAGAATACTGTGAAATACAATGTATATGAACTTTGTAAGCAAACCAATAGAAGAAAATGTAAAAAAGAAGTTACTTGTATGTAGAATGTCAAGTCTCAATTATCCAGAAAATGTTTCTATTTCCCTTCAGTGGTAATAAGAGAATGATAACTAGATGCATCAGTTCAAGACTGGAAATACTTTAATATAAATGTTTCATTATTTCAAATAACCACACTATTTTTTTGGTATTTATTGAGTTGTAAGGAATACTTTTTTAAAGTTTGAAAGCATATTGTGCTTTATTTTAGCTCATGCCATTGTAAGTTTTTATTGGAAAATAGAAATATTTAACATTCTTTTTAAAAATTCATTTTAGGCAGAATACAAAAAAGGACAAGGAGAAATGAATAAGGAGCCTGCTGTTATTGGAAGACCAGACTTTGAACATGCTGTGGAAGCATCTAAACTTTCTAGTCAAGTAAGGTTATAGTTGGTAATGCCACAATGACTTTATTCAGAAAGTCTGATTCTAGAAGCTTAGGGAAATACTTCATTTTAGATAATATCTTCAATTATATAAATAAAAAATACTATTTTGAAAAAACATTTCAGACAGGATTGCTATAGTTCTAAATTTCAGTGAAGGGGAAATAGTTTGAGTGTAAAATAAAGATCCCTTCTCTTTAGTCTTAAATCTTAAACTTTCCAGTGAGTTTAACCGTATTGTTACATTTCCCAGTACTTGAAGTATTCACAAATAGTGCTACCAAATAATTATGTCTCTGTAATCTGGTTTTCACATGCATAGATATGTGCTCATAAACACTTGTATCATTTGAAACATAGATATAAAAGAATCTGTTCTTCTGAGTTTCACATGGAATATAATTTAATCACAAAATGAAATTGGGAGAATGTCAGTGAAGAAAACCTTAAAATATCATCAGCAACGTAAAATAAGCTCTGAAAAAAATGTAAAAAAATTTGCTATGTTTTTAATTGAAGATATCCAGGCCATAAACATCTCAATTATTGCAAATTAATATATTAATGCCATGCAATTTTAATTAGAAGCCAAAAGAGTTTTTTAAAGTATGGATAAGATGATCTTAGAGTTTGAATGGATAGGAAATGCCTAAAAATAGCCTTTAAAAGTCTGAAAATGAAGACAAGTGAAGGGGAACTTAGCATAACATAATGTAAAGCCACTGAAATTAAATCAATATGGAATTGTTATAGGGAGAGATTAAATGATCAGTAATATAGAACAGAGAATCCTGAGATAGATTCTATTTTGGTTAAGAATTTAATATATGATGAAAGTGTTGCTTCAAATCATTGAGAAAAGGTTAGATTACTTAATAAATGGTGCTGACATAACTGGCCATCTATCAGGGTTAAAAAGAAAATTCAACCCAAATCTTAAACCATATTTATGTAAATATATTTTTATAAATGAATTCCAGGTGGATTAAAAACTTGAATCTAAACAATAAATGAATTTTTAGAAAATCCAAGAACTATCCATATTACACAAGAACATCATAGTTTTCCTTAAACACACTTTACACACTCTCATACTCAAAACACCAAATGCAAAAAACCAAAAAAAAAATTTCTTAACAGGATGCTGAAAAAGAATACTTGGATGAATTTGGCCATATAGAAAGTAAAACTCTTTGAATGAAAAAAGATAACATTTATAAAGTCAGTAAAAAGGAGATCCAATAATATTCTCTATCCAGTACTCTTTTATATACTGATGAATACACACATACATACACATAGCACACCTGTATATTACACATTTATTGGTACTGATAGGGTTTTCATCTGGGAGAATAACCATTTCTCAAGTTGCAGAAGTATTTGAATTGCTTCTGATGTAAATGGTGGAAACCACGACAACTTACTGAAGACCATAGAAAGAGATTTAAACAAATGACAAGGCATACTATTGTAAGGGCGTCTTACTTCAGGAAATTTTTCGTTTTTCTTAAAGTTAATTTTAAGTTCATTAATGTCATGTATTATCAATTTGAGTACAAACAGGCTTTAAAACATTTAACCAAAATTAAATATTTTAGAAAATAGAAAATTTAAAGTCTACATGGAAAAGAGAAGAACTTAGAGTAGTTTTTAGTTTAATGTAAAAACAAAATGCAATGACCTCATTTAGAAAGTGTGTACAGTAGGTAAGATGTGAATGTTTTAATAATATGACTAAGGGGTATTTGAGGTTTTTTAATGACTGTTGTTGATTGACTTAAGTCGAGTACAACTCATGGTGACCATATGAACAAAAGGTTTGAAGACCCTCTACAACGGTTGACATTTATCAAAGTTCATAGAGTTTCCGGAGGCAAGTTGTTTTTTAAAGTTGAACGGGCAAATGAGATGAGTAGATGATTCACAGAAGAACCAATCTAAATAGCTGTTGTTGTTGATTGCCTTCAAGTTGAGCAGGACTCATAGTGACCCTATGAACAAAAGGCCTGAAGCCCCTCTACAACTATCGACATTTATCAAAGTTCATAGTTTCTGGAGGCATGTAATTTAGGACATAGTTGCCTGTCTTGCTTTCAAAACTGTCATAGTATGTTATTGTTGCTGTGTACCACTGAGTCACCTGTGATATATAGAGACCCTATGTATAGCCTCTCTGAACCCTTCCCTGTCCTGAGCCAGTCTCACTAATTCTGACACACTAGTCCCCATTGCCCCACTCACTGTATCAATCCATCTCATCAGTGGACTTCCTCTCCTGTGCTGTCTGTCCATCCTTCCAACATACAAAATACATAATGATACTCAAATCCACTTGTGAAAGGGAAATGGACATAAAGTAAAAGCTAAGGAACAGTCTGTGACCTGTTAGTGTGGAAAGAGAAAGAAAACAGAAAGATAGTCTCATTAGAAATATTTTGTGTAGAAAGTGGAGTTGAGCTTGGATTTAAAGAAAGAGAAATACCTGCTTGGGGGAAAGACCCTGAGTAAAGAATAGGAATGTGTGAAACAAGAGAGAGGTCAGAGGGCAGAGTCTCTGTGCCAGGGGAAATGGGTCATAAACATAAACAGGAACTTGGGAGGAGTTTATGTGCTTGTGACAATAAATAGGTCAGTGTTGTATTGATTTTGACCATGGGCCATTATTTCTAGAGCACAGTAGGAACAATGTGTTCTATAAAAGAAATAGTAGGAACCCTTATCCATTGCAGGTGGGAATGTAAAATGATATAGCTGCTGTGGGAAAAAAGCTCTTTGGAAGTTCAACATAGAATTACCAGGTTACCCTGCCTTTCCATTCCTAGATGTATACCTGAAAGACTTGAAATCAGGAATGCAAATGGTTACTTGCACAGCTGTATTCAACACTGTTCACAATAGCAAAAGGTGTAGCTAACCTAAATGTTCATCAACGGGTGAATGAATATGTAAAACGTGATACATATTACCCTGCCATTATGAGAAATGAAGCCCTGATAGATGTGAATTAATACATATTGAGTATAATATGTCAGTTATAAAACAACAAATTTATTTGACCTACTTAAATGAAATATTTAAATTGCTATAATATAAAAACCAAAGTTTGTGTGTTGTGTTACTGAGGATGAAAGGAAAGAGAAAAGATGTCCCTGTTGCTTTTGGGCCATGACACCAAAAAGAAAAAGGAAAATCCACTGCCTTTCAGTCAATTCTGATGCACAATGACACGGTAAAGACAAATTAGAACTGTCCTGTGGGCTTTCCAAGGCTGTACACTTTATGAGAGGGAGCGCTAGGTGGCCAGGTGGTAAGGCAATGATCTGAGAACCCAAAGGCTCGTGACTCAAGTCCACTAGTTGCTCCATGGGCAGTGAACGAAAGATGAACAGTCTCCTCCTGTGTGATTCACTGACCCTGAAAACCCACTGGAGGGTTTGTTGTGACTCCACAGTACATAACAACAACAAGCTGTTATGGGAGCAAATGACCCTTTTATGCTTCCAGAGTGACTGTTGAGTTCAGATTGCAGAACTTTTGGTTACTAAGCAAGAATTCTCAGCACTGCACTACACTAAGGTTCTACTGCTGGGATGGAGAGCTTTAGGAAAGGTGGGTGGTGATTGCTGGACAGCAAAAGGAATCTGACTGATGTCTATGAACTGTATACATATGTAAAAATGTCCTAGTCTATGTTTAATTAAGATCCATTCATGCACAGAAAGAAACAGGCACTAATACTGGCCCTTAGATTCATTCTCACAGGCCTATTGTAGAGTTATTAAAGTTCTGGTATTTGACTTTGCTTTTATCTTCTTTCCCCCCACCCCCATTTCAAATTCAGTCACCAAAATCCTACATGAGTTTTGATTTTCAATCTCAAATTATTTGTTGACCAAACTATCAGCTGCTCAAGCAGATTGTTAATTTGCAAGTTATGTGAAGTCTTTAAATTTTAAAAAAAAAATTAATGCCATCTTTCCTAAACTCACAGTGTATAAAACTCATCAGAAAACAAGAAAACTGGTCAGATGACTGTATAGGGCTTCTTGAATAAACACAGTATGTTTCAGTTGCCTTTACAAGTGTACAAACTAGAAACCAAGGAACCTACTGGTGCTGTGGCTAAGACATTCAGTTGTAAACTAAAAGATCAGTGGTTCGAGCCCGCCAGCCACTCTTTAGGAGAAAATTGAGACAATTTGTATCTGTAAGGATTTATGGCTTTGGAAACACAGGGGGGGCAGTTCTCACAATTGGCTTGTTGACAGTGGATTTGTGGCTGGTTAACTAGCAATCAGTTCAGACTGTGTGGGTGCTTTTATTTCATTTTCATTGATGATCTTGAAGATCACGTTTCTGCCTCCTAAACCACTGACAGATTATAAGTATGGGAAAATAAATATAGAAGGAAAGTGATTTAAGATTGCAGTTAAAAAAATAGAAAAAGACTGCAGTTAAGCAAGAATATTGGGGCAGGATGCAAAGAATGTAGAGCAGGATTTTATGAGAGAATGGAAGAGGGAAGATGGTGGCCAGATGATGGTTATCAAGGCAGCCGTGGCAGATGGGAAGGAGAGGCGGCGGAAGAGCGAGAACACAGGGGATGCTTACATTTTCCCTGTAATCGGAGCTCTGTGGTCGTGCAGGTAAAGCAAACACTCTGCTGTGTTAAATCTCATGATATCTTTGTTCTCATAGCAGCAGATTTCCTATATTAAAATCTAGGAGTTATATAAAATTATGGTTAGGAAATCTAAAAAAGTAACAAAAGCAACAGTAAAAAAATCACATATTGAGATGTAATAAAAACATTGGTGTATTTAATAATATCCCAAGCATAAGTACAGTAACAATTGAAGACAACTGCTTAAAAGCTTCTTCTTAGAGTAGTTAATGTGTTCCAATATTATCATATTATTTGGAATTATATCTGTATTAATGATTAGTAGAATTCCTGGCTTAGTTTTATAATACTGAAGGAAACCAGTTTATTTATAATGATTAATATTTTTTCTAAACTTGCATCTAATCTATTGTTAAAGTGGCTTTTAAAATGTAAAATAGTATATTTCAGTTGCTGTGAAAATTTAATAGTAAACACTGTCCTTGAAGTGTAAGGAGTATTAATAGGTTTGGAGACTCTCCCATCCTCCCTTCCTGGCAAGCACTCCTCTGCCAGCCTCCTCATTCCCAAGTATCAGCTTAAATGTCATGTCCCCGAATTGCTAATTTAAATCCTTTCTCCTTCCCCCCTTTTACCTTTGTTCTTTTTCTTTACATTTGTTAACATAAATTATAGTCAGATATTTGTGTAACTCAGATACCTCTTTCCACACTGCAAGATCCATATGGTCAGGGTTTATTGCAGGGGTTTATAGTCTCTGTAGAATCCCAGACATTAGCCTCCAGCACATATCTGCATACCTGTATGTGTGTGTGAATACGCTAATACTCTGGAGGGAGCTCTGGTGGTATAGTGGTGAATAGTTACACTGCTCACCCAAAGGCACTGATTTGAATCCACCAGTTGCTCCACAGAAGAAAGATGGGCAGTCTCCTCCCGTACAGATAACTGCCTCTGAAAACCCACTGGAGGGTGGGATATGGGTCAGTCCCAACTCTGTGGTACACAACAACATACATAATTTTTTTTTTTGTTATGTGTTACCAAGTTGGAACGAATTCATGGTTGACATTCCAGCTGGTCTTCAGAGACAGTAAATCACATGGAAGGAGATTATCCATCTTTCTTCTGTGGAACAAATGGTGGGTTCTACCCATGGGCCTGTGGGTTGACAGCACAACTACTTATCAACTAGCTGCCACTACACAGACACACACACACACAGACAGACACACACACACACACACACACTGTTGTTGCTATTTGGTGTGTCAAGTCTGTTTTGACCCGCAGTGACCCTGACAACAGAAGTTGTTCAGTCCTGCACCATTGTGCCTATTGTTGCTCATTGTGGCAGCAACTGTGCCATTTCAACCCAAGGATCATGGCCTTTTCCCCTGTCTCTTTATCAAGCATGACAACTTTCTGCAGGAACTGGTTTCTCCTGGTAATGTGCCCAAAATGCATGAGGTGAAGTCTTGCTATCCTTGGTTCCAAGGAGTATACTGTCTAGAAGTTTTCTAAAAATCTTCCAGATTGTTTTCCTAGAAGTCCATAAGTTACTCAGTTATTCAGCAGAGATAATTTAAACGGATTGATGTTTCTTCAGTCTTCCTCATTAATTATGTAGCTTTTGTATGTATATGAAATGCTTGGCCCATGGTTTAGATCAGGTGCACCTGAGTCGCTGAGGAGAATTAGTACCCCAGACTACTGTACTTTTTAACACTTTAAAGAGATCTGCTAACTAAAAGGTCAGAAGTTCAAAGCTACCAGCTGCTCTGTGGGAGAAATAGAAGGTTTTCTGTTCCTGTTAAGATTTAACAGCCTTGGAAACTTGATGAAAGGTCTCTGCGAGTAAGAATTGACTTCATGGAAGTGGATTTGGTATTTTATATACCCAGTAGAAAGCACGATACCCAACAAACTCTCTCTGAATCTTTAGCTAGTATTTTGTTCAAAGACAGTAAGATGGTATTTTTTTACTAAGAGAAGGGTGTAACCGCACAGAAGGTGATTTCACATCTTTCTACCAGCTAGTGGATTTGAAATGCTTGTCTTTGGGTTGGGAGTGGAATTTTATAACACTAAGCTACCAGAGCTATCTAAAAAGTGGCAGAAATTGTTTTGAAAAAGAAATTTTTATCAAAATCTATTGCAACACAATTATAGAATTTGAAAACAACATGGAAGTATTGAGTCCTGGCTATAAGTGAAAGCATTTCTTTTTGATTCATTCATTTAGCCATTCAAACAAAATAATAATGGAACCATGCATTGCACATCATTCCATGGTTAGGTTTTCAAGGGAAGACGGGTCAGACCAGGGTCCTGCCTTTACACTGCTTATAATTTGAGAGAGAAGACCAATGCAACAGTTTTTAAAATAGTTATACCAGTTTTGTGTGGTAAGTGTGATAGAATTAACTGGAGGTGCTTTAAAAATATCTCAGCAGTAAACAATCTAGTTTGGGAGTTGAGAGAAGATTATCTAGAGTAAGTTAAGTTTTAGCTAGTAAGTAGACTGAAGGAACTGCTCAGGTAACAATCAGAAAGAGGTAGAAAGAACAGGTTTAAATGTCAGACTTCTACTGCTGGACGACTTGGCTGTTGAGAAATTTTCCTAATCCTCAGCAGAAATCTTGTTGACTAACTTTTGTCCATGAATTTATAATCTACCTTCTGGAACAGTGCAAATACTATTTTCCTGGTAGATTTTGTTCTGCCAATATTTGAAGACAGTTATATAATTCACTTCCTTAATTTCTTCAATACCAAACCCTTCAGCACAGTACCTGACACTTAAATGTAACATTGCTGTCAAATCAGTTTTAACTCATCACGAGCCCATATGTTCCAGAGTAGAGCTGGGTGTAAGGTATGTCAATGACTGGACTTTTGGTTTACATTTTTAAGGGTACCAGCAGGCTCCCCCCCCCCCCGCGATCAGTCCTTCAGTCAACAGCCAAGTATTAACCTTCTACACTAGCAAGATACTTCACCTGACACTTTAGAAACCTCAAACCCACTGACTCATAGTGACTTTCCCTGGGCTTTCTGAGGCTCTACATCTTAACAGGTTGAGACTTCCAACCTTTCTACCTCAAAGAAGTTGGTGGATTGGAGCCACTGAAGAAACACAGCTTTTTGGTTACCATTGAGACACTAAGAACTACACTATTGAAACTTCTTTGTTGTTATTAGGTGTCCTTGAGTCAAGTATGTCTCATAGTGACCCTCTGAACAACAGACACAAATCCTTTCCTATCCTGTGCCTTCCTCACAATCTTTGATACACTTGAGCCCATTGCTGTATTTTTTAAGACACTTTTTTTTTAAAAAAGCCCATGAAGCTATATGAACATTTCTTCAATGAATGAGTTCCTGTGGTTACTACTAAGCATACAGATATATTATTTTACTTTCTATTGTTTATCATATTCTTTTATTTTTGTTTCTAATTTCCATCTCAGTGGTGGACTAGTCCCTAGGAAGTTCTGCTGTTAACCCAAAGGTGCCACTTCTGTGGCAGTTTGAAGCCACCAGCAAAGGAGAAAGACAGGCTGTCTCCTCCTTGACTGCAGTTTACAGGCTTGGAAACTCAGTGCAGATCAGCTAAGAGTGGCTTTTGTACAACTATGAGGTGGGGAGAAGGATAAAGGGGTAAAAATTGTTGGGAATCCCACCTCTTTCCTTCTTTCGGAGTAATTTTTTAAGGAAAATTCCTATTCAGAGTTTTTTGTTTAGGAGCGCCTTTCTTAATGTGGTAGACTTGAAGAGATTTGTAAGCTCAATTTCCAGTTGATCATAGATTACAGGAATGCACTTAAAAATCTTGATACGTTCTTGTGTAATTCTTTTTAATGGGATTTGGGTTCATGCCTAATTGCATTGATGATCAATGTTCAAGGGGTTGTTGTTTCATTGGGTTTTGCTTTTTTTTTTTTTTTAATTAAACTACCATACTCTGTTAAGCTCTATAAGGGAAAAAATACCAAGCATTTAAACTTTGTTGGCATTTCACTTTTAAAGTAGCTTTTATTTGGTTGAATTAAAGTTCACATGTGTTGCTTTTAAAGTTTAAAAGGTAAATGTGCTATTAAGTGGATCCTTTTTTGGATGACAGATTAAATACAAAGAGAAATTTGATAATGACATGAAGGACAAGAAGCATCATTACAACCCCCTGGAAACTGCTGCGTTTAGACAGAGCCAGCTTGCCACCATGCTAGCCAGTGACGTAAGTTGTTTTGTGCTTTATGACCTGTAGTTGGGGGAAATTATTTGTTTCTTTTGATTCATGCTTTCTCAGGTTGAACACTCTGTAATTACTGATAAATCAAGACTTAAAGGAAGCCAGTTGGTGCAGTGGTTAATACTTTGCTGTTAATCAAAAAGTGAGCTGATGACTTAGTGGTAAAGAATTCAACTACCAATCAGAAGGTGCATAGTTTGAGACCACCACCAGCTCCTCAGAAGAAAGATGGGCTTCTTCTCTGCAATTTTTAGCCTCTTAAAACCCACTGGCGGGTCAGCTATGAGTTGATTCTGACTTGATGCCTTTGAACAATAAGCTAACCAGAAGGTTGACAATTTGAATCCATCAGTAGCTCTGAGGGAGAAAGAGGTGGCATTTTGCTTCCTTAAAAGATTTACAGCCTTAGAATCCCTATTGTCCAGCTCTTCCCTGTCTTGTAAAATCATTGTGAGTTGGAATTGACTTGAAAGCAACAGATTTTAATCAAAACTGTGTAGCTTCCAAATAATTTGTAGTTTAAAGCGGACATTTCCTCCATGTGTGAGAAATATATATATATTTAATTAATGGTCAAACTCAAGCTCATTGTCATACTCAAGCTCATTGTCATACTCAAACTCATAGCTGATCTACAGTTTCAGAAACTGTAAATTGGAATGGAGAAGATTGCCCTTTTGTTCCCCCCTGAAAAGCAGCTGGTGGATTTGAACAACCTGCTTTAGGGTTGGCAGCACAACTACTTTCTACTGTCACCAGAGCTCTCCCACTATTAATAATAGTACTGGTTGCTAACTAGTTATTAAGTATAAGTAATATGCTAATAAAAGTAAATTTAGTCAAACACAGAAAGAGATTATAGAGTATTATTGTAAATTAATGGCTAGGACAGTGGTTAATTCATGTAATCATTTCCATGAAAATGGGTTAATTGCAAAGTACAATTGGTATATAGTAGTTTATAATAAATAAATGTTAAAAATTATATTTGTAATGGGTTGCAATTTTTTTTTTATTCTCCATGTAAATACTATCATATACTTCAAATTATGTATTTTATGATAATCAAGCTTACAAGACGTGGGGAAAAGTGGTCACTTTGCCATAATTAAAGGCTGTATAAGTAAAAATTTTAAAAAATGGAAAAAGCTATATATTGTACTTTTGAAAGTACTACAATTTATTAGTATCCAACTGTTACTTTGTAAAATCATCTAAACTCCTCAGCTCCTTTGTCTTATTTTTGTTAATACCTTGTTAGGAAGCATTGTTTCTTGTGTTGAATCAACAACCTGATTTTTCTCTCCAGAAATGGAAATGGTTGCTTCTGTCTTCTAGGACAGCTAGAAGTGCCATTCTAGGTATTTTCCTGACTTAATTTTTGTAAAAATGTGGGCAACAGGAAATGAAATATTCCAACACAACCTGTGTTGGAAACATATAGAATCTGATTCCTTGAGCTTGGATTTGAACCCTCTTTTACCACTTGATGTACATTTTTCTCCATCTCTTCATCTGTAAAACTGGCTAGTTAAACTGCATTCTACCGTGGTTATGGAAATTAAGTACTTAATACGTTAAGTACTTAGAAAAGTGCTTAACACATAGTTGGAATGTTTGAAGTAATTAGTATTTTATTATTGCTATTACTGATATTTCCAATATAATTGGCGAGGAAAAAAAGATTTGTATTGCAACAAGAAATCCTCCAAACATCTTAATCATTACAAAGTAACTGAAACACTGCCTTCTAGAGAATAATGGCATTTTCTTGATTTTTGAAAAACAGGAATCTGATTGGTTGTGTCAATATCATTCTTTCTAAATATGTAATAAGAATATAAAAATCAGTTCAGTTACTTGGTTTTATTCACGTCTTTCTAATTTTGAAAGAGGAATTCTCTATCTTCTTGGGTATAAAAACATAAAAAAAAATAATAATCATTCTGTAGTAAATGAGCACCATCTAGTGGCTATTAGGAAATTCACCTGTCAGTTTGCCACTGAATAACAATATTTACGGTGAGCTAAAATGACAACGGCAGTAAAGCAAAAAGCATAGTACTTTTCCCCTCCAAGATGGCCTTTTATTTCATGTTCCTTTCATAGGTGAAGTACAAAAAAGACGTTAAAAATTTGCACGATCCAGTTTCAGATGTCCCCAATTTGTTGTTTTTAGAACATGCTTTGAAAACCACCAAAATGCTCAGTGGTGTAAGTAGGCTGTGTGTAAACTGTAGATGTGACTTCATGGAGCGAACTCCACTACTATACTTATGCTTTCACTTAGCTCTTATGTAATACGCTCAAGCTACTCCCTTACTGGCCCCTGTGTTTAAAAGTAGTGATCTGCTTGCATAAATCACACCAATGCTGATGCTTTACGCAGAACCTTTTGCTAGCTTTCTCGTGTCGTTTGAATAAAAACTTTTTGTTGAACAACTAGGCTTGTGTTTGTGCTAGCCTTTTCTTCTTTATTCTTCATCATTTTTAGATTCATTTAAGTCCCTTGAAAATTAGCCTCTTCAGACAGAGCCTCTTCTATTTTATGCAAGTCTGAGCATTGTGTCTGATATTCAGTATGCTGTCAGTAAATTACAAATCTTAACCTAAATACATTTCTGTTCCTAAAAAATAAGTTGAAAAAGTAGTTATAAGACTCTGGTACTAATGCCTTTAGTCTTGCATGGTTACCACATTCTCGGTCAATACAAGCAGGAGCAGAGGGAGATTTCTTTGTTGTGACAGAAATATTTGTGTATGCTGCCCTAGTCAGTCTGCCTGAACTTCACCTCCTGATTCATTTTTTAATTACAAGGTGCTTCTGAATCCTGACTTCATTACCTGTCACAGGTGATGACTTCTGGCCACCTGCAGGGAGTGTTTGTGGTGTAGTCTGTAAGAAATTGAGCTCCAAAGCTCAAGGCAATGCTTCCCTGGTAAGGGGATCTGAATCTACCATTAACTACCTGGGAGAAAGATAAGCAATGTCTTCCTGAGCAGTTTACTGCCTGGGAAGCCCGATGGAGGGTCAGCTGAGTTAGTTCTGACACCGTTGCATTGAGAGAATGGTCAGCTGTGGTCCTGTTTTATCTACCTCAGAACACCATTCTTAAGGTTTTAACTCAGATTAACCTCAAATTAATTCCCATGCCTGTTTTGAACAATCACCTACTCAATCATCCATTACTGAACATCTGATTTGGATCAGATGTTAGACACAAAAGTATTATTTGTAAAAATTGAGTGGAATTTGTGAAAGCTGGAACCTGTATAAAGTGGAAAGCTGTTACTGAAGGAAAACTCTCAAAGTTACCCCTACTAGAGATTGATAGAAACGTGATAAGGATGAACACCGTCAAAGGTGGAAAACCTGTGAGAGCTGCAATAACAGGGCAGTTCCAGAGGCTCCAGTTCTCACAGATTTTACCATACATGTGGTCTCCAGCCCTGATGTAAGTGAAATATGTCATTTTACAAGTTTTTTTTAACTATTGCCCATTTTTACTAATGTCTTTATAAGTCAAGCCTCTGCACATCAGTGAATGAACACCTACAAAACAGCAACATCAGTACGTAGAACATATTCCTAAAGATACTGAAACAAAATAATGCTGCTGTTCAGATTGAGGTTCATTGTAACTTGAATGCATTGTAAATTGGGAACTCCCTGTGCTTGTCTTTTATAGAGCCACCCACAGTCATCGAGTTAAAAATCAGTAGCAAAGCTTGGTTCCAAACTGCTGAATAATGAGACACAGCTTTAGTTCAGTTTGAGAAATGACCATACTTGGCTTTGATATATTGAAACTTGTGTTCATTATTCTGTAATCCTCCTTTCTCCATCACCGCCATCACCATTCTTCTTGAACTGTATTATGCATGTAAATAATTCATACTCACAGGGCTTGTTTATTTATTGGCTGACAGTGGCCAGCCTTTCTTTCCAGTCTGTTGAGCAGAGAATGAAGGTTAGAGGGTTATTGACAGGTCCAGAATTAGCACTCAGTTCTAGGACACTTAAATCATGTTGTGCTGCCATTTCAGTGTTTATCGTTACACCTCTGTACACATCTCTTCCTTCCGTTTCAATGTCATGTTTTTCTCCCAGGCTCCTACGCATGCTTATGAAAATGGATATCATTCTACTTCCTGAGCCCCTGTTTCTTCATGTCCAGCCTTTGGCATCTAATTTTGCTCACTGCGGTGACATTTGCCCTTCACTGTTGTTCTTTGCCATGATGTTTGTCTTTGACTGCTGCAAATTTTTATTTAAATTTCCTAGGGACATGAAGACTTCATGTTTAAAGAAGCCAATAAAATAAAAGGATGATAATTTATTTAAAAATTAGTAGATGGGAAATGAATGCTGTGCATAGGCAGTATTTCTTTGTAATGTCTTTTCTTTCTGTCATAATCCATTTAAATTTTGACTGTTGAGAATCTGCACAGCAGAGCATCGATTGATTCAATAATTTCTACATGTACAGTTGTGTGATACTGATTATATTCGTCAAGACAGACAGTCATTCTTAGCCTCCCTTTCTGAATTGTCCAACCCATTCAGGTAGGTCTCCCATTAAGTTAGATCTTAAAACAGCGCAATACTCAGTGAAAACACTCTCTAGTATTTAAGCTAAACCAGAAGGATTGACATAGTGACTGCTGTAATGTCAGAAGTGGTGAGGATGGCATTGGGTTCAGATCTGTTGTTCATAGCGTTGCTGTGAGTCATACTTGCCAGCACCTAGCAACAACAACAACAGAAACAATTACTTGGTTTAAAATTACTCAAGGAAAATTATTTAAGAGTTAAGGATTTCATCAGAACAGTAGTTGATTCAGCTGTAGTCTCATGCAACCTCCATGAATCCAAAAAGTCAGTATCTATTTCCATGGTTATTGACTGGGTTTTGGTTTTGGCTTTGTCTTTTTTTTAAAAAAAAATTTAAATTTTTATTATTTTTGTGTGTGTATACTGTCAAATCTGATCCAGCTGGTACAGAAGGAGATCACCCCTCCTTCTCCAGCAGAGCATCTGGTGGATTCGAACCATTTGACTTTGTATTTCCTCTCTGTCTGTCTCTCTCACTAACACACACACACACACACACACACACATGTTGTTGCTGTTGTGTACTGTAGAGTTGGAACTGACCCATAGTTGACCGTTCAGTGGGTTTTCGGAGACAGTTAATTACATGGGAGGAGGTTGTCCATCCTTCTCCCAAAGAGCAGCTATTGGCCTCAAACCGTGTGCCTTTGGGATTGGAGCACAGTTTTTTGCCACTAGGGCCACCAGAGCTACATACATACATACATACACACACACACACACACACACACACACACTTATTTTTTTAAAAAACCATTGAACTCGTAGCTGACCATCTGGCTTCTGAGGCTGTGAATGGCACAGGAGGTGATTACTCATCTTGCTTCTTTCGCCTGCGGACTTGACGGTACATTTGAACCTTTGGAGAGGAGTGGCCTTTGGGTTAGCAGTGCAACTCCCTATGATTATACCACCAGAATACCCCAAATACATGTGTGTATATGTGTATACACATGTATGTACAAACACACGTGTGCGTGCATGAAAATGGTGAAAAAAATGCCAGTATAACACAAATTGCCATATTTTCAAGTGAGAAAATCCAAGACATTAATACATTATACTTATATTCTGTATTATAAAATTTAAATCTTCAAGTGGATGCTTTTACTTGGGTCCCAAGGGCTTTTCCTCTATAGAAGAATAATAACTGAATTATTATGGGAGAGGAAGTTTCAAATATTAAAAAGTGTATAAATGTGATGCACTTGTTAAAGTTGTGCAATAATAATTTCCCTCATTATTATTTTGCATTAAAATTTATTTTTAAAAATCTAAATCACAAAAGATCGAGATTGGTTTTGTTGGCTTTGTGAAGGTAACTTGAATTTTATTCAAAGATTATTCACTACACATCTACCAAAATTAATGGGTCGTTTGTTATAAATTATTGTTTTTATAAGAGCTGTAGATGAATTTTCTATAAACAACAATTATTTTTCTTTTTCCAAGTAGTATATTATGAGCCTATATAGCCACACCAATGAAATTTTTTAAGACATTTTATTTTTTCCTGGATAATAAAGCTCTTTTAGGTTTTAGTTTCTTTACATAAATTGTTGTTGTTGTTAAGTGAGTTGAGTCGTACGTGATTCATAGCAACCCTATGAAAGAAAGACCTGAACACTTGTATAACTTTCATAGTTTCTTCATATTCATAGAGTGTCTGGAGGCAAGCTAATATGGAAGTGGATGCCACTTCTGCTTCCAAGTTTGTTTTAATCAGGAAGCTCCACCAAACACTGTCGACCATGGGTAACCATTATCGCATTTGACCCATCAGTGTCACAGTATTTAGCATCACAACGACCACAAGTTACCTCTGTACAGCAAATGGACAGACCAGCGCTATGACACTTAGAAGAATGTTTGACCAAAAACAATTAAAACCAGGCCTGAGGGCTGCAGATTAAAATCACCCACCCTTGGCTTGGTAGCAACTCTTTTTGTCCACTAGGCCAGCTGAGCTATGTTATATAAATTACATAGTGTTTAAAAAGCCCCCAAACAATGCTGTATACTCAGTGTTACTCAGTATAATTACCACTAGGAGGCAACAGAGACTATTTTATGGGGAAAGCAAGTCTAGAAACTGCAGATCTTAAAACTTTTTTGTATGTTATATTTTCTAATAAAGAATTTCTGAAATTATTAATAACTAAAACAGATAATTTTATGAATAATATTGACCTTTTTTCAAGTATATATGTTCTTTATACTAGGTGTAATATCCAAATCTTTTTTAGTTATGGATTTTACCTCAGAAATAGAATAAGTTGTTGACTACCTTCGAATCGAGCACGACTCAGAGTGACCCTACGAACAAAAGGCTTGAAGCCTTTCTGTAACTTTAGTAATTTATCAAAGTTCATAGAGTTTCCAGCTGCATGTTATTTGGGAAGTAGATGCTACTCCTGCTTCAAAATACAGTAAGAGCTAACAAAATTGTAAAGTCTAAGGGTATTGTTATCCTTTGAGATTATTGTGTTACCTATTTTCATATTATCAGAGGATCTAAATATTAGAACTTGATTTAGTATGTAAATTTATGATCTTGCTGGACTGCTTTTCTCTTACATTGTTCTACTTAAAGGAGAACACTTATCCTAACTCCCTAATCAACTGAAAGCACTGTGAGCCCAGATTCCATGTATAGACTCTGGAGCAGTAGATCTCCTGTGAAACATCCCTCTTCCCTTCCATCCTTCCCATCCCAAGTGTCAATCCTTCCTATTCTGCTCACAAATCCCTAGACTATAGTCCCTACACTAAGATGCACATAAATGTTTTTTATGGCTGATCCATTTGGCTCTTTTAAGTCTTTTTTTTTAGGGTTTCCAGTCATATTCATTGTTGCACTTTTCTCTTTGCCCACCTGCTCTCCCCCATTCACTCTTCTTCTTGAAAAGAAAGAGAAAAACTCTTTCATCTCTTTCATTGTTAATGCAGTCCCTCCCCCCAGGTTTTTTAAGTCCTCCTACACATACAGATTTAGGGCTGTTTTACATAGGGTTGCTATGAGTCACAAGCGACTCGATGGCACATAACAACAACAACACATACAAAGTTGTAATTTTGATCCAAGCCCTCAATGTTTAAGGAACATCACTTTAGCTTCATGTCTCTGTAGCCTTGTCTTTCATTATCTTTCATTTCCTTTCCTAATTAGGGCAAAATAACTAACTGTCCCATCTCCAGTGAAGCAACTAATGTCTCATTGCTGCCTCTAAATGTAAGAGGTGTATTTATCTCAACTTCATATTTTCTCTCTGTATCTAGACAGTAATCCTAATCCAGTTTATTCATCTCAAAAATATATTGCCCGGTTTTCTTCCAGGGTACGTTCTTCTCTTCCCTGGTGGGAAAATCGGTTGACTTCTTTTCTCCCTCTCATTTTCTTTGTCACCTTTCAATCTTTCTCATGGCCCAGACATCTTATAAAATATTTCTTTCTCTGTCTCCAGCATTTTCTTTCTTCTCTTCTTTCTCTTCCTTTGCTTGTCTTCTTGTGTTGTTAGTATTCGATGTTGAGCCACTTATGACTCATGATGATTCTGTGTGCTGCACAGGAGAACTGCTCTGTAGAATTTTTGAGGCTGTGACCTTTCTGCTACAGTTACCAGGCTTGTCTTCTGATGCTCCTCTGGGCAGGCCAAACTGCCAGCCTTTTGGCTAGTAGTGGAATACTAAACCATTTTTGCTAATCTCTTCTTGTAAGTGCTAGAGAAAGTATTCCTTGTCTATGATAGGGGCATGGCAAATTATTTTGCCACCTTTCCTAATCATATGAGTCACTTCACTTGCTTTCCTGGTGCCATTCTTTGGTTTTGTGACTGTCTTTCAGGTTGTATGTACTGCTAATTGCCCTCTGCTCAGCTTGAGTGTTTTATATAGGCTTCACACTGACCAAGGAGAACTGGCTCATTAAGCACAGTCTCAGAAATCTGTGAGCCACTGAAAGGTTCCTAATAACAGCTTTGCTGTTTGGCTGCTAGTTTTTAGTTTGCATTCCTAAGTAGTAATTGCTTTCATGAATTTGCCTTTTTGAGTCTAAATTTATTTTAATGTTCTGTATTTTAGCGAGAATATAAAAAGCTTTTTGAGGAAAACAAAGGACTATATCAGTTTGACATGGATGCTGCAGAACACCTGCATCATAAAGGCAATGCCACACTCCAGAGCCAGGTATGTCTGGGTGATGCACACACCCGCCCAGCTGGGACCGTGGAACCTGCTCCAACACCCACTGCTCACTGTGCTGGGCTTCCTGCATGGACAATGCACAGTGCTGAAAAGGATGAGCATCCCGAGCAAGTTTTGTGATAGGAAAAATATCAGACAAACCTCAGACTCTATTTTTAGTGTATTATTGGATCATGGGAATTTGAGTCACATTTCAATATTAAGTCATTTACTAAAAAGAATTACTTCATAATTAAAAACTTGAAGTATAGCATGTGATTAACCAATCGTCAAATCTCATTATGAAGATTAATTTTGCAGGTATAAGATTGAATTATAAAACTTCTTAGCAGAGACTAACAGTCTTATCAGAATATTATTGTTGAATGTCCATTAAGTGATAAAATTCTGTGTTACAGAAAATTTTTAAAAAATATATTTTCCCAACATTCTATTTGAAATTGTTCTCATTTTTTTATCCCAAATAGAAATAGTTGGAAAAAGATGTCATTTCCACCATTGATGAAGATAACATTTTATGTCACTGTTTTCAGTATATTCCGCAAAATATAGTTTCCTCAGTGATTTGATATCTACCTTTATTAAAATACACAAATTGGCTCCCCTTTGTTATTTGTTGTTATTATGTGCTGTCGAGTTGGCTCCAACTCATAGTGACCCTATGTATGACAGCTCTGAACCCTGCTCTATCCTGTGCCAGTCTTACTGTCTCTGACACACCTACCCCGAATACCTCAGTTACTAAGTCAATCCGTCTCATTCAGGGTCTTCCTCTCTTGCACTGTCCCTCCACCCTTCCATGCATGATGTCCATCTCTAAAGACTGATTCCTCCTTGCTGTATGCCCAAAGTATCTCAGTTGAAGCTTCAAAATCCTTGGCTCCAAGAAGCAGCCTGGTTTCACCTTCTCCAGGATGGACATGTTTGTTCTTTCTTATTATTTGAAAATTGACATAACTTTTTGAACTCACATTTTCATTCCAATTGCTGAGGCTTTCTCTACTCATACCCTTTTTATATTATTATGCTTCAAGCAGTTTTACTATTTGCTCCATTTTATTTCTCTGCAACAAAAAATAGGTCTTAAATAAGAATTTTATCATTTATTATATTTCACTTATTGAAAATTTTCTTTTGGGTTAACTTTTTTTTACTATATAGCTAATCAAATTACTAGATAAGTGACTATTAAGATATGGAGTTTTAATAAAATGCATTTTTGAATGAAATGAATCATGATCACAACTTTTTTATGCAGTAAAAAATATGTGACTTATAAAAGTCTATTGTGAAAAAAAAGTCTATCGTGACAGCTTAAATAGAAATTTTTTTTGGTAGTAGCAGATAGAAAATATCAGTTGTTTTATAAGCTCAAATAAGGTGAGGATTGATTATAATAATAATAAATCATTCATCATATATTATTAAGTAATCTATAATGAAATATAAATCATATCAGACACTACCTTGTGTTTTACTTATTATACTGGAAAAAGTCAAGCCTCCCAGAAAATGTTGTCCTTTCCCTTTTTGACAGAGAGAAAAATCACTCCCCCACTTTCATTCTTGTTTTAGATTTACCATTAGATGCTTGAGTTCTCACACAAATATAGCTGTAATTGATCCTCTCAAGGGTCTTGATGCTGTGAATTGCATGGGAGGAGATTGTCCATCTTCCTCTCTTAGAGCCACTGGTAGATTTGAACTACCAGAGAGACACAGCTTTTGCATTAACTGGCTACTCCACCAAAGCTTCCTTTCTGAGGTATTTGTTGTTGTTATTTTATAATTTTATGTCCACTTTGCTTTATCTGTATATCCCATAAGTTCAACTCTTTGATAAGGCCAAGAACTATAGTATTTAGTAGTTCTAATTTGTTTTTGTCACCGCAGAAAATGTTTTACGTATTACCTCCTTCCTTTTTTTGTTTGTATTGAATTTTTTATGAGGAATCCAATGACCAACCTAAATGGTCAAATATTGATTTCTAGAAATGGATAACTAATTTTGGATGTATGTGCATTTCACTTTGCTCTGTGTAAACGCTTTTAAGATTTACATGTTTATATATTCTATTTTGTTCAATGAAGGTTAAATACAAAGAAGAGTATGAGAAAAACAAGGGAAAGTCGATGCTCGAGTTTGTGGAGACACCATCTTATCAAGCTTCAAGAGAGGCTCAAAAGATGCAAAGTGAGGTAGGCTTATTACCAATTATTTCACATGTAGTTAAAAGCTTACTCTTTCCCACCCCCAACCCCCTTCATTTGGAAGGAACCAGTAAGGTGGTTTTAATTGCCCAGTGGGTCTAGAGGAAAGGACCAGTCCTGGGAAGATTCAGAGTTCTGCAGTTTAACACTGAGCACACAACCCCGGGGACTTTGTCCAGGTCACTCAGTTACTCTCACTTTTAGTCCTTCTCATTTGGAAAATAAGAATTTCAAGCCAGATGAGCTCATAAGAGTTCTAAAAGCACCTCTGGGTTGTGTTCATTTAAAACTATGATAAATATATAAAAATGGAAAGGAAAATGAAGATCTATATTGCTTTGTTTTGTTTTTCCTAAAGAATAGCAGCACTAACATTATCAAAGCTAAGAAAGTTATGCTACCAAGTCAAAAGTCAGTGATTTTCATCTGCAGCCCTCAGGCCTGGTTTTAATTGTTTTTGGTCAAACATTCTCAGTAGTATAGCACTGGTTTGTTCATTTGCTGTACAGAGATAACTTGTGGTTGCTGTGATGCTAAACACTGTGACACTGATGTGTCAAATGCGATAATGGTTATGCATGTTGGAGACTGTTTGGTGGAGCTTCCTGATTAAAACAAGCTTGGAAGCAGGAGTGGCATCCATTTCTGGAACAGCTTGCCTCCAGAAACTGTATGAACTTGGAGAAACAATGAAAGCTATAAAAGTGTTCATCTACAACTCAAGGGCACTTAGCAACAAGAAGTACTTTATATATCTGTTTTTTAATGTTGTTGAGTTAAAGCCAACTCATTATTGACCCTTGTGCAGGTTTTTCAGAGGTAATACATTACATGGTAGATGGTCCATCTTTCTCCTGGTGGATTCAAATGTGTGAATTGGCAGCACAATCCTCGAAATGCTAATGCTGGATAAGTATCATCCCAAAATTTACTGAACATTCACGGAAATCAAGTATCTTACCTAAAAAGACATGCATTCAGATAATTTCAGTGCTCTAGGTCCTGGGCAAAGTCATAAGTGATTTCCTCTCTGTTCTCTCCTTTTCTCTCTTTCATTGCTGTCAAGTTAGAATCAACTCATAGTTGACCCTATAGTAAGTTTTCAGGGACCGTAAACCTCATGGAAGGAGATTATTTCTTACTTTCCCTAAGCCTCTGATTACCCTCCAACCCCAATAAATAGTGGCATGAACATTTTAAAACATTAAAGACATATCGTCCTAACAGCAAGGTTTAAAATCAATAAAGGTGGAGGGTTTTTTTGCATCAGTATTGTTTTTAGCTCTCTGTATCTATTAAATCTGTATACTGAACAGGTAATTTGAGAAGCTACACTCTATAAGAGGGAATGGGACATTAAATGGGACATCAGGGTTAGAGGTGGACTTATCAGCAGCCTGCATTAAGCAGATGACACAACCTTACTTGCTGAAATTGAGGAGTAATTGGAACACTTGTTGCAGAAATAAAAACTAAAGCCTGGAATACGGATTACATGTCAGCTTGAAGAAAACATATATTCCTGTTTTGTAAAACAGGTGGGAAAACTGAAAGTATGTAAAGAAGCTTTAATTGGGGGGCTCTTAGGCTCTTCTGCGAGATTCACTGTCCCAGGCAGGAAAGACCGAGGACCGGTCAGAGAATTAGCAAGTAAGGACTTGGTGGAAAGGGGCCATCTCTTGACAGAAGTAGTGGTCATGTAGCTTGCTGATTGGCTGCAGCTACTGACACTTGCCACTGACGCTGTGGGTGGAACCCACTATTGTGAGTGAGGTAGGTTGGAGCATAAGATGGCTTGGGAAATCTTCTTTGCAGCTTCCATTTCCTTGAGGCTGTGTCACAAGATTTGTGATTTGGCCCTGGAGGCCTATCACTTGTAACCACTAGACCAATAGGCAATATCATGAGAGATGGAAAAAACATTGAAACTATATACAAATTTGTCTTACTTGGATTCACAGTCAACACACTTGGTACCAGCAGTCAGGAGATGAGGAAAAGTAGCATTGGGAAACTCTATAGTCAGGGAACTTTTCAAATTACTAAATTCAACAATGTCAGTTTGAAGAATAAAGTGTGCCTGATTCAGGCCATGGTCTTTTGAATAATTTCGTACACATTTTAGAGGTGAAGGATGAATAAGGATGAGAGAAGAATTGATTATATTTTAATTATGATGGTGGAGACTAGAACTGAGTATCACACGGACTTTCAAAAGAACAAACCTGGAGAAGGTGTCTCAATATACTTTGGTCATATTATTAGGAGAGGCTATTTTTTTGGAGAGGTACATCGTACATGGCTAGAGTTGAAGTGTGTCCATTTCCAATAAAGTGGATAAAAAAGTTTAAAAAAAGAAAAAAAAACATTAAAAGCAGAGCAAATTATTTTTTTATTTGAAATCATGTTAAGTAACATCCAGCTATGCTCCTCCCTGTTTAACATCCAGCTATGCTCCCCCTTGACTTTTTCCATCTCAGTGAAAATTGTTATTGTTGTGTTCCTTCTGCTTTACTTGGATCTTAAAAGATTTTGTTTACAGTCCTCACCCAAAATCTGTGGATGCAATGGGCGATTACTTTCAAAGGACAAAAATAGTGGGCAGTGGTATCACTTGTTGCCCATATTTTCACTCCTGCTGTGTTCTATTCTCAAATAACAAACTCAGACTTGAGGGAGTTATGATTTCTAGACAAAAAAGAAACAGAAAGAACCTAGAGAAATTTTAACATTATGTGTGCTGGGTGCTCTGATGCCAGAGTTTGTATGGAGGTGTGTTTGTAACACAAAGACTGCACCTCTCTGGTTGTTCAAAGATGGATGGGTGTTCTCTTCCCATGTGATTTGCAACCATGGTTGAGTCAATTATAATTTGATGGCAATGAGAGTGAGTTTATTTGCGGAAATGTTAAAATTAAAATTCTTCCTATTAGGAAAAAGCACACACAGGTTATTATTGAGACTTATTTAACAGTCACAGTTGGTTAATTTAATCTCCAAATAAGGAGGAAATAATAGCTTCTATTTTTCATTTGGTATTGCTTCTTATGCCTATGAAGAAGAATTTAACCAACAACGGTCAGGTAACTATTTTAGCTAAGTCATCCATTTGTTTTAATTATATTAACAGAAGTAGTAAATCTGAGCAAACTTAGGAAGTCCTAAAAAAGTCCTTACATTTAATGAAGCATGTTTTATTGTTGTTTTTGGGTTTTTTTTTTTCTGTTTAGAGGGACAGGCTAGTTTATTTTTAATATAACACACAAAATTTGCATTGATCAAATTCCAATTTCACATAACAGCTACAATTTTAGATGACTATGTCAAAATAAACTTAATTACTTTAAAAACCTTAATAAAACATACTGTCTTTTTAAAAATGAAACCTTGTTTTATATTGCTTTGCACACAAAATTTGTATACATTATGTTTCACACATATTCCTTTATTCACATTTTATAATGAAACAACACTTGAGGAATGTTTTTTTTTTTTGCACATGGAAAGAGCATGTAAAGTATTGCATGTATCCTTTAAACTAAAACAAAGGCAAACCCCTCAAAATCCACAGCTGTTGAACCATCGTCAGCTTATGGTGATTCCTTATATGTCAGAGAACACCTGTGCTCCATAGGGTTTTCAATGGCTTGTTTTCATTATAGATCACCAGAACATTGTTCTGGGGTGCTCTGGGTGTGCTTGAACCTCTTGGCTTTCAATTTTGGCAGCCAAGCATGTTAACCATTTGCACCACCCAGGGACACAATCCTTTACATCCTCTTTGTTGTCTTTCATTGCAGGAATTAGAGCCAGATATCCAATTCACTTCACCCAGTTTTAGAGGAACAGACAATTGTTACTGCTCCTTAGTCCAGAGAAATATTTCTGCTCTCATGAGCTGCCGTGGTACTTGTCTAGACGTTTTAAACATAGAACATACATGGAAGACACAAAATTAAAAAGAAAAAAATCAGTGTATTCTTTTGAAAGCAACACCACAAGGTGTTCCATGTTTATCCTCATCTTATCCATGCTCTCTTGAGCCTCCATCTCCATTTACCTCTTTCCTGGCTTTTTGTTCTTTCATAACATGTATAGTTGTGCTAATGAGCCCTTTAACAAAGTTTTAACATTTTTCCTCCCACTCTAATTAGTTGACTTTGCTTTCATCAACAGATCAACTTACCATTTAAGAGTAATACATTTTTATGCAGTATTTCTGTTTTAGAAAGTTAATTTTGTGATTTGGAATTTCAAATCCCCACCTTTCTGTATAGGCTTTCTTCCTCAATTCATTCACTCTTTCAGTGTGCCCTTATCACTGAGATTACGTCAAGTTCCTGGATGATTTCCCAGGCTTTTTCTCTTAACTGTTCTTTACTGTTCACCTGAACTTCAGATCCACCATATGAAGTGGGGTCTCATTATCCCTTTCTTGGGGCTGAAGAAGTTAAGAATTTTAGTAAAACTTACACTGTTGGTGGGGCTGGGTCTTAAATTCTGTTATTGAGCTACCAGACTTTGTCCTAAATTTAGATTTAAGAGTTCTTCTCTGATGGCCGGGTTGAATGCAAGCCTTATGCTCTACTTTTAATCTACCAGCTGCTCTACAGGACACAGGCAGTCTCCTCCTGTGTAATTTACAGTCGAAAAATCAAATGGAGGATTTGGAAGGTTCTGACTTCACAGCAATGAGTTTAAGTCCATCTCTTACTCTTGGTACCTGAGTTCTCACTGATAGTTATCTCTGTTTCTTCAATGAGATACTAAAAAAACTGAGATTTTTCAGTGTTTTGTTTTGTTTTTGTTTTTCCTATGCATGCCCAGGCGATTATTATTTTGGTGTTTGTGTTATCTTTGTTTTATTTCCAAAGGGAAACATTCCTTTCTTTGTCTTTCCATTTACTTGATCTTCTCTATCCCTTTTCTTCTGATCATCATATTTCTTAGATCTTCTCACTGGACATAAGGCCAAGGACTCAAGAAAG